TGTGTGTGTGTGTGTGTGTGTGTGTGTGTGTGTGTGTGTGCGCGCGCGTGTGTGTATGTGTGTGTGTGTGTATGTATGTGTGTGGGTGTGTGAGTATAATTGTTTTTATATGCACTTGTGGTTATTTATCTCTCTCGCTCTCCCCTTTTTTCTTTTTCTTCTGACCCCAGTCATGCATCTCTAGCCACGAACAGAAACTGGTTTTATAGATATACAGTATTTCTGGTCGAGGGCTGGAATGTTAAAGGACATGTTTGAATGATATCTGAACTAAGAAACTAAAATGTAAAAGAAACAAAATATAATTGTCTCGGGGTTGTTTTGATGAACAAGACCCAGACTGTAAGTGAACAGAACATTCCATATTGACATGACACTGTCATATGCCACAGGCTAGCCAATTCTATTTAATTCTCTTTCCGACTAACACATTGGAAATTAACTTTTACCATCATTATGAACTGACATCACAGATCCGAGAATATGTACTTGTAAAGATTTTGTGGTCTTGGGGAGCCCAGGGGAAAAAAAAAGCTTAGTGAGGGTTAGAGATGTATGATCATTGTATTCCACTTCAACCCCGAGGAGATGGTATGATATATGGTCATTGTATTCCACAGCAATCCCGAGAAATGAGGACGTATGGAAACTGTATTCCTCTGCAATATCGTGGAGATAAGAGGAGATTTGGGTATTGTATCTTACAGGACGTATGGCCATTGTATTCCACACTATTCCCGAGAAAGAGGGAGGATGCATGGCCATTGTATCCCACAGCAACACCGAGGAGATTAGCCCAGCCCTGCTTAGACCCTGCTCAACCTTGGTCAACCTTGCCCGGCGTCAGGGTGAGTGACCCAGCAAGGAACCCAACTCGACCGGCGACAACGGGGCGTCTCCCTTGCTTTTATCATTTTGTTCCTTTCTCTTTTGTTTCCCTTTCTCTCTTCTTCTTCATTGGTTCTTCTCATTTCGCCTTCATATTTCCTTCCATCCATCACCTTTCCTATTCATTTTTTCTTCCTTTAGTTACTCTTTCCCTTTCCTCTATTTTTTCTACATTTTCCATCCATCCTTCCAGAGAGAGAGAGAGAGAGAGAGAGAGAGAGAGAGAGAGAGAGAGAGAGAGAGAGAGCGGAGAGAGAAGACGAGAGAGAGAGAAGAGGAAGAGAAGAGAGAGAGAGAGAGAGAGAGAGAGAGAGAGTCAGAAAGGGGGAGGGGGGAGGGAGAGAGAGGAGACGAGAAGAGAGGAACAGAGAGGACAGGAGAGAGAGAGAGAGAGAGAGAGAGAGAGAGAGAGAGAGAGAGAGTTATTAGAACTTCCCATAATGAAGTCGAGAATGAAGATGTCCGTCAACGAGCAGTAAAAAGTCTATTTGAATATCTCAACCCCCATTTACCCCACCCTTCTCACGTCATCTTACACCTCTCCTTCCTCTCCCCTCAACTTCCTTTACGTCTCCCCTATCCTCTCCCCATTTACCGTCCATCCTCTATCTCTCCCTCCCTTCCCCTCAATCCTCTCCCTTCCTTTACCCTATTTCCATCCCCTCCACTTCCCCATCACTTAGCATAGATTCAAAGATCCTATAGCAAATTCTAGCCAAGGTCTCTATAAGTACTTGATTCTAGCCATCTGGATTTCCGGGTCTTTACTTTAGCAAACAGCGCGACATAAGTGAGGTACGTACTGGGCAGTTGCTATCTGCCACTGCCATCTGTTGGTCTGCTGCGAAGAGAATAGTTGCTTCGGTGTTTTTATTATTATTATTATTCATTTATTTATTTACTAAGGTAACATGTTGTATCGTCAATTAGTTCATATACCACTTTTCACTTTGAAAAGAAATCGAATCTTAATATCCACAGAGAAGATTACAGAAACGTAATCTAAGACGATATATATATATATATATATATATATATATATATATTATATATATATATATATATATATATATATATATACATTTTTTTCTGATGGGAGAAGCAATCCGAATGTACGAAGCAAATAGAAATCTTTTGTTTAAAAACTGCAGTTACATGAAAAAGAGATTGATATATATCCATAACCATACTCGCACACACACACACACACACACACACAGACAAATACAATTGTAGATAATCTGTTATCTATCTGAATATCAGAAAATGATACAGAAAAAGGAAATTAAAAGATATCACAACGTTTCGATTTTAATCAATATCATTATGGCGTAGCGTACAAAAACAGTATCAAAATCTCACATGCTTCCTGTCATAGAGTACAAGAGATAAGAAACAATATTTGTAAAACGGAGATCACTGAGTTACTTCAAAGTGAATGCAATGTGGCCGCTGTGTAATTAAAATAAAGTGACAAACATTGTGGGCGAAAAGAAAGTGACATCATTAAAGGCGAAACTGTGTTGGATGTGATGGACCGAAAAAATGTCAGTACAACACACATAAATAGCGTGAATGTAGGAGCGCAAAGCCTCAATGAATGACAAAAAAATACATACAGCCCGTTTGAATAAAGTAAAATCATAGAAAAGTATAAATCATTATAAAAAAGAGCATAGGAACAATCACTTTCTGAACAAACAGTGTCAATCCGATCACAGTTTATATCATATAAATAATACAAAATCTCAGAAAAAAATAAAGATGCATCACAGTAAACCACAAGGAACCAATAAATACGGTTATTTGGCCAACATAAAATGTATATGCAAATGTGGCAAAAATAACAGAGTACCAGTAGGAATCTAAAGTCATCTACAAATCGAAAAGGCACACAGTGTGAGACTCTGACACACACAGACTGCAAGCAACAAGGTGACAGCAAATCTCTAGAGACCGCCGGCCTAAATGACAGTCACATACGTATGTCAAACGTTGGCTAAAATATTTATTAATAAAACCAAAAAGAAAAAAAGATTGTTAATGAACAACTCAATGAAATGACATTTATAAAAGAGCATCTCGACGAAATAAAGTGGGTCGTGATGATACAAGAAGACCGATGAAAAATAAACAAATACACTTAATGAGGAGTGGGACTCTTGTTCTGAAAGTTACCATAGCTACATTTATGAATCCGTATTAACACGTGATCATATTGTCCATGAGAGATACCCAGCAACCCAACTATAAATTAAAACTGCTAATAATACGTGAGTTCCCAGACGAGACTAAACAAGGACCGAAATTACGAAAATGGATTGGACAAGAAATCCACGAAAGAAATAACTCTGCACTGGAATCGCCTAATTCAAAATGCAGTTCTACCATTTAAAAAATATTGATATTTCGATCAGCTACCACGACAAAAGAAAAATAATCAGGCCGATAACAAAACTTATATCACTGACTGTAATAATATCGGGCCTTACTACAGACTTTCTAATACAGGTGACTTTCCTATAATATAAATTCAGTCAAATGCTTACAAGACTAAAGATACACAAACCGTGTGGAAAGACTAGATTTTAAAATAAAACGTAAAGAATTCAACACTTTTGTCACTTTAGGTGAAATCTTGTATGAATGACCTTGATTAATATCCCGCAAATGGCACAAGAAACAGACAAAAAGACAGATAGAGAGAGAGAGAGAGAGAGAGAGAAGAAGGAGGGGGGACCAAAGCCTACGTAGGATGCAAAGACTGTCAGTTACGGGAAAAGCGTTACACCGTTAACCCCTTTTTAGTAGAAATGTGGCCACAATTGCCTTGTTGACTGGACATCTCTCATTACCAACCCTTTGTTCACCACTCCCCCTTCCTTTGTAAGCCTTCACTATTTTCTTCTCCCTTTCCGTCCCTAAAGCTGCATCGCATTTTATCCCTTCTTTGCCGTGGTCTAACATTGCTTTGCATATGGGCACAGAACTTGTCTCAGCTTAGATCCATTCTGGCGGTGCTATTTCTCATCCTAACGGTACAATAGTGTCGGTAACAAATAGTAATACAACTATTTTTTTTAAGAGAGAAAAGATGTGTATGATATTTGTATGGGCATTCCAATCTTATGAGAAAGGAAGGAATAAGTATAATGAATTGCTGATATAAGTGAACAATGTAAAAATATGTTTGAGTTTATCCTTTCATTATTACGTTTTCTGTTATTAACTTTAATATACAGGGGTAACTTTTAAAAATATGTTATGGAGTGACAATCTGGTGAGATTTGAAGAAAAGGGAATCAAGAATGAATAAACAAACAGAAGCATCTGAGAAAAATGAGACCGAGAGAATGAAAATGTATTACATGTTTGTAATATAAACTTACATCATAAAATAGACAAAGAAACCGTAATAAATGATAAGACAAAACTGAGCAACGATCTCCCGTCTTGAAACCTAAGAGTCTTCATCCACAATCTAGATAGATAATTTAAAATATATACAGATCACATTAAAATACACTATATGGTAAAAGAGGCACCTTTCCATTTTCTCATTAAGTTCTCCATTTTCTATTCACCACTCATTTTTTTTCTTAAAATTTGACCATTCATATTCTAATGATGTATATCATCATAACTTTCTTAGAAACTCCTTCATATCCGTCTCAGTTCCTATTCACTTTCATTCGAATATTTGTCGCATTTTCTGTCATTTCTTCCTTCGCTTACAACCAATTCTCCTCCCATTCTCTTTAACACTTCACTCCCACATCCTGTCTTTCAAATCACCACTCTACTTTCCTTCGCATTTTTCCTCAGTACTTCCATCCTTCATCTTTTATCCACTCCTCCAGTTGCTTGACTTCCTCTTTCGCTTCAAGTCCCAACTGTCCTTCAGGCTGCACTTCCGGTTCGTAGCTGAGGACGCGAACGCACTCCTTCAGGGCTGTCATGGCCGACTGGAAGGAAGAGAAGAGGTCAGATAAAAATAGGATTATGCAGTGCATATCCGGTTAACGTGGGATATTTCTATATATTTAAGTATGAAAGTGTATATGTTTGTGTGTGTGCTTTACACACACACAACACACACACACACAACACCA